GGAAATAGGGAGGGAAAGGAAAGAATGGGCCCAAAATGACGTCATGTGATAGTTGGAGGGCAAGAAGGTGGTAACTTTTGATGTTTTTGAAAGTAGAAGGTTTCAAAAAAAAAAAATACAAGGTGGTAATTGCTAAAATGGACATAACAGAAGGTGGTAATTGTCAAAATTTCCTTACTAATATGTCTTAAAACCTAAGATATCTTTATTTTATATCCATATTGAGTATACTGTCATATACAAATGAAGATAGGTGTATCTATTTTTGTCTTTTTCTTTTTCAATCACACATCTTGTTGAATGTTTTTTTTTTAAAGGACCACAAAGACAGGGATTATGAGAATCGAAAGAGAAACTCTAACCACTTTTTTTTTTTTTTTTTTAAAAGGGAGAAACTCTAACCACTTGAATTATTTTTTATTCTCATCTCGTTAAATGTTGATACATGAAAACTCTCCAACAAAATCATGAAGAATAGAGATGCCAAATAATTTAATAGTAAAAGTACGTTTAGAATCAAAGAGAAAGATTTGATAGTGAAGTAGCCACATAATTTAAGGAAATTGTCTCTCAATATATAAGTTTTTTATGTCTTTATAGTCTATATAGTCTATACAAGTATACTATTAAGAGTACCTTGCTGATGTGTAATTTAATTTTATTATATTGTTGGAGTGTTGCAAAGTTTTGGCAGTTCCCCTTTTGCCGGAGAAGGGGTAAAGATTTTCATGTACGAATTTGGAAACCAAACAGTTACCCTTTTTTATTTATTCAATTATACTGTTACTGCATAGGGTAAACATTATTTGTTGGGGTAAAATTTCAAGTATCACCAAGTTTTATGTAACTTTATTTTCATTAAAGTGGGGTGAAACTTAATTGAATCACTAAAAGCAGGGTGAAAATTAAAAGCTTAAAAGAGTGAATTGTTTTATGTGTACAGCTGTTTGTGAGACAAATTAGAATAATAGAATTACTGCTTACTTTCATTTGTAGTACTACTCCATTACTCTTATAGTCTTATATGGTAGCTAGCCGAGGTCACATACATCCTTACTTATGAAAGTGTCTCTTATGTTCATTTATGTTGGAGTTAGGGTCTGTTCTAATACGATTATTTTCACTTCAATTCAGTTTAGCTTTAATAAGTTCAATTCAATTCAACTCTAATAAATTTAATTCAGTTCATATTTTACTTCTCTTATAAAATATTCATTTCAGTCCAGTTCAGTTCAGTTCAGCTCTAATAAGTTCATTTTAGTTCAGTCAATGAGAACATGTCCTACTAGGGATTACTCGTCTATAAAAATTAAGCTTAACATTAGGGTCACTTTTGATTTACATACTGAACTGAATCGAACTGAACTAAATAAAGCTGAAATAAATTGTTTATGAGAGAATGAAATGAAGAATTGAACTCAACTGAACAGAATTAATTGGAGCTGAACTCAACTGAACAAGCCCTTATAGTTAATAATCTTTACTTACTCCAAAATTTAAAGTGTAGATAATTAAATAATCTTTGTTTTTTAATAGTGCTTGGTTTAGTTGATAGTATTTTGCCTCTTTAATCAAATACTCTGTAATATGTTCGACTCTATCTTACTGATTGAGGTTCTTGAATTGGAGGAGAGGACCTTCATATTGTTTATCCCACTTTCAAAAACTTGAGTTGTATTGTTAGCTTGGTTTGATTACTTCTAAGAGATTTCGGTTCAATAGGATCATCCTTAGCTTGTTACATTATCTCTTTAGTTGATTTTGTGCATTTGTCTATAACCTTAATTAACAAAACCCCCTACTCCTAGTTGTACTTGATTGCTTATGATATGTCAACATTGAATCATGTAATAAATGTGGTTCTATTTTATACAATGAAGTTGGTAAAAGATGGAAGCTAGAGGCCAAGTACGTCAAAACTTGCAGAATAACATTAATTGAAGTAACAAAACTCCAATTTCATTTCAATATCAACTTCAATACTCAAGAGCAGTTAATTTGATGGGAGAAAATGTGCAAGTTATTGAAGTAGTCAAATTGATTAAATGTTCAATTTTATTTTTTTTCCATAATTGGGCCCTCTTTGATTTGACACTCCCTTCAATTTTGATGGACCCATCTTATACTATTTGTCTACTAACTCTATCTTACATTTTCATACGTAAAGTTTGGAAGATTTATTTGTTTGTTTTGATGTTTTTTACACGTTAATATTTCTTCAGTTTTTTCTATTTTTTCGTTTATAATTTTTCAGCCTTTTTTCATGTATACAATTTCATTGTTATAATTGGAAATCAGCCAAGAAAAGTTCAATAATCAAACAGTTAGATTCAAAAATTGTTTTTTTTTTTCTTTTTCTTTTTCTTTTTCTTTCATAGTACTAACTAGATTAAACCCCGTGCAATGCACGTTTGTTAAATAATCTAATGACAATAATTTTTACCAAAAATAATTGATATAAATATTATAAATTGACTTAGTAGTAAAAAGTATGAAATATTGTGAAAGAAATTAATTAAACATGTTATATTTACAATGGGCAATTTGATATTTAAGGACATTTATTTTAGATTTTATACAAACTAAAAGTCATAATTTAATTACAATAAGTTTTTTTTAGTAACTGGTTTTGGAGGGAAAACTTTTTATAATATTTTGTCAAGTGTTCTCTGAGTTTCGCCTTTAGTATAATGTAATTAATTAATTTAATTGTTACTGGGGTGAGAAATTGGGCCACTAAGATGTAGGACTAACTAGCCCAAGGCCCAAGTACATGACAATTTTGTGATATAATATAATGATGAGAGATGCATAAATTTGCTTTAATTTTGGCTAGTTGTCCACTTTTTATTGGGTGCAATCCCAAAAAACATTCCAAAACTAACCCATAAAATAAATGGAAGTTTTGAATAGCCTACATTTAGGATAACGTAGAGTGAAAGGAGTTTTAGTTAGTTATAATGTTGCTCAAGTTGTGAAGCCTATAATAAGCATCATTCCATGATCTAAGGTGCTTTTTTTCCCATTAAAATCATACAATAAGAACTTTTTATATGTCATGATCTATGAAGTATATATGTTGTCATAAAAAGAAGTATAGGGAAGGTTATTTTTCTTTCTTTAACATTTGGAATTTTGAAAGTAATCAACTAAATGAATCAACAAGCAAATGAATTGATATTATTCATCAAATACAAGTAATCATTACTCAATATATTGCAATTGTTGACGAGTATAACTAGTTTTGAATTTGTAGATGTAACTTCAAGTCTAGCTTCAACTATCACTTATAGAAATTAAAGTCAAGCTAAGAAGAGAGTACACGGATTCAACACAAATTCTTAAATGGACCTGCTTCACACTAATTTATTATGAACCACTAACATAAGAGAAACTAGGGTTGTTTTATTAATAAAAGAAAAAGTCACTATATTGAAATAAATGTCATTATGTTGAAATAAAAGTCATTTTGATAATATAGGCTATAAGAGGTTAATTTTTTTAATAAAATATTTTATATACTGGTCAATATGAATAGTAAAGGTCACTATATTAAAATTAGGTTCATAACGTCGTATTTTAAGTTCACAATAATATTAAACGTTATACAAATTTTAATAAAGGTCACTATGTTTAAAATAAGGTTCATTATGTTTAAAATAAGTCATTATGTTCTATATAATGCTAGTTGTGTGTATTTAAACCTCAGGTTCACAATAATAATATTGTGGACTAGGTCCACGCAAGTCTTATTACGGATTCAAAACTTTGAAAGAAGAATAGTTTTGGATAGATACCAGAGTAAATCACCAACATTTTGGTTGAAGTGTATCAATTGTAAGCCAGAAGAATAAACTTAAATTCAGGAAACATATGTTTAGAATAGAGTTGGGCATGGGTTGGGTCGACACGATAACTTTGTTATTAAACACACATAAAAATGGTATGACTCAATAAGATACAAGTTCAATATAGCAGGACAAACACGTCGATGGAGATGGGCCATGGGGTGTGCATGAATATCATTTTTAAAAGTTGGCACAAAAATGACTAGAAGTAAAATTTATTAAGAGGGATTATTAATGCCACATGTGACTTACCAATCCATGCATTTCATTTATTAAAGATCAATAGCGATTAGCGAACCAACACGACACAATACGTTTTTTCCTTTATCCATTCTAAACCATTTTCACTTAAACAAAAAAGTAAAAAGACCCATTAACATATCACATTAACCTTTTTTTTTTTTTTTTTTTTTTTTTTTTTGTCAGGAGAAACACATAAACTTACCCGACCCTCACCCGTTTATAACAAATACGCATTAATCTCAGGGCTTGTTCACATTTACTTATATAATTTCAGTTTAGTTCAACTATAATCAATTCAACTCCAATCAGTTCAGTTCAGTTCAGTTCAACTTTAATCAATTCAGTTCAGTAAATATGAACAGACTATTATTTTTTAATTTGTAAAATAGAAATCCCACGGCAAGAAATGAAACCCGCCTAAAGCATAAAGGGGCCACACGCCACTTTGCTTAGCTCCAAACTCCACAATTCCACAAATAATCCACTTGACCACTTCCAAAATTCACAACCCAAAAATGCTTCATAAAATAAACTTTCATTTTGTTCAAAAGATCGACTAGTAGACCTATGCCGTATCTTACAACCACTTTTATTTTCCCACCCACTGAATTCTATAAATAAAATCAAATTAAATACACTTCCAAAAAATAAAACTAAAAAAATCACAATCTTTCCTTTTTCTCTCTTTTTTTTTGACCGTAGACCACACCAACATTGAATCGAATATATTTAATTATTATATTTCCAATTAAAATTCTCCCTTCTTACGTCACCCTTCTTCTCCTATACCTTTCACATTTGACCTCTTTTCTTCTTCTTATACCATTCTCTCTCTTCCTCCTCTTTCTCTCTCTTTTCCTTCTTTCTCTCCCATTTTTTCCAAACATTTCTTTCATTTCATTTTTATTATTTGATTGATTGACTGATTTATTAATCACAAAAATTAACAAATTTCCCATAAAATTAAACTTTTTTTAAAAAAAAATATCATGGGTAAAGATGAATTATACATCAGTGTTCCAAGTTTTTTCAAGTGTCCAATTTCATTAGATGTAATGAAATCACCTGTGAGTTTGTGTACTGGTGTTACCTACGACCGCACCAGCATCCAACGGTGGTTAGACAGCGGCAACAACACGTGTCCGGCTACGATGCAAGTTCTAGACACCAAGGATTTCGTTCCTAACCATACCCTTCAACGCCTCATTCAGATCTGGTCCACCAACCACCATTCCGCCTCCGCTCTCAAGGGTGCTCTTCTTCCGCAATTCCATTCAGTGTCATCTGCTTTTGTATCGGATTTGATAAAACAATTGTTAGAAATAGAGAAAGAAAAAGAAAAAGATGATGGGGTTTTGTTCGAGGGTGTTGTTAAGATTCTGTGTTTCGCTTCTGAATCAGCTGAGAACAGGAGATTTCTGGGTTCAAATGGATTGTTTGTGGATTTCTTGATTCGAACCGTGTCCTCGGGAGGTCCGGATCTGTCCCCGGACCTCCTCGAGGCCGTGCTCAAACTACTCCATCTTGTCATTGCCTTGAATAATGGCAATGACAAGATGGGTAGTAACAGCCGCTGCGAACTTGTTTCGGCCCTGGCTCGGGTCCTTAAAACTGGCCGGCTAAGGTCCAAGGTCGCAGCGGCTGGGATACTTGAGGCATTTGCTCAAGACGTCGAAACGAAGAGAATCGTGTTCGACCACCAAGAGCTCGGGATCGAGCTCTTGAGAATACTAAAGCAAGGGAGATTCGAACAAGAGGTAGAGAAACAGGCAGTTTTATCTTGCCTGATTTCTCTATCCTCCCCTCGGCGCAACAAACAAAAGTTGGTCCGAGCGGGAGGAGTTAAAACTATAGGCGACATGATTACCTCACACGGTAACAATAGTATTAGCGTTAATAATACTATTGTTACCGTTGAGCTCCTTTTCACCCTGCTAGAAATGCTAGCAGGGTGCACGGAGGGTCGACTAGCTATAATCGAGGATCCGAATTGTATACCTATGATAATCAACAAGTTAATGAAGGTTTCGAGCGCAGTGAACGAGCATGGTATTACACTATTATGGGGTTTGTGTTACTTGTTTCGCGATCAAAGAGTTAAGGAATCTGTTATGAAAAGTAATGGTGGATTAACCAAGATATTATTGTTGATGCAGAGTGATTGCTCCCCTGCTGTCAAGAGGATGTGCTGTGATTTGCTTAGGATTTTCAGGGTTAATTCTAAGTCTTGCCTTTCTAGCTATGATACTAAAACTACCCATATTATGCCATGTTAGTCTTGGGTTAATTTTTTTAATTTTATAATTTGGGTGATGAAATAGGTGAAAATTTGGGAGAGATCAATATACAAGAATTTTGTAAATGATAAGGAAAAAAAGAAAGAAATTTTGATGAATTATAGAAAGGAAATTCATTCCTTTATTTATTGTTATATTTTGACTAGCTATGAATACTAAATTTACTCATATAGCCATATTATGCCTTGTTAATTATATTTTTTTGTATTTTTTTAATCCCTTGCTTAAACATTTGAGGATATTATTGGTATATTATGTCCAAAAAAATTCATGTCAATATTATATATATTTTTTCGGTGCAATTGGTAGATGAGATAATGATGAACAGTAAGTTATCAAAATAATACAGTAAATGTATAGTTTTTAAAAAATTATTAACAAATACGGAGTAGAATTATTACTAAACAAGGTAACATAACATAACTCACTTTTAGAGCGATATGTTTAGGCTAAAGTAATAATTAGAAAATGAAAATTATGATTAAGGATATAGACAATGTACTAACTAGTAAAGGAATATGCCAATGAGTTTTACCACAAATTTGCACAATGTAGCGTAAGCGTTTACCAAATGTACCAAGACAAGAATATTAGGCATAATATTTATAAGTAAATTGTAGTATGCACTGAGATGCTTTCTTCCACTTCTCCTTTTTACTCTTTTTGAAATACGGATTCATTATTTTTTTTGGGTGAGTGAGGTTGGCACATCTTTTATTTTGTTGTCATCCATTTACTTGGGAAATCATTTTCCACCACCTTTCTTTTCATACCTACATTAACGAGGAAAATCCATGTTTAAATGTGTATTACTGTTTAATAGATGTAGCTTTATACTCCCTTAATTTGTCAACTTTGTATGGTCAAAGTTTCATGTTATACCTTACACAGTTATACTCCCAATTCGTCAACTTTGTACGGTAAAAAATAAACGCTTTGCATACATTTACATCTTTCAAAGTTGTATTTTGCGATAATATTTTAGAATGACATGACAAGGTTAGAAATTCCACAAGGTAATACGTACCCCTTGTGCGGAGGGGCGCTAATGTAATTTTTTTTCTTACATTTTATTAAAGTTAATTTTGTATTACATTTGAGAATAGCTCCTAAATTAAGTGATTCAAATATTTTTCCATGCTATGAATTTTTTTAAGAAATTTCATTTCATTCTTTTACCTTCCTCACTTTACTTGAATAATATAAAGTTTATTAATTTTTAATTTTAAGAATTGTACTCCTTATTTTTCCAAAACATTAATAAGAGATAATAATATGTATGAGTAGACGTGATTTAACATATTTAAAGAGTGAAACAGTAGAAATCAAATTGTAAGGCCTAAAAAAGATACTTGATAACATAATAAAGAGAAAATTGATTTTGGCACACCCTGAATTGATTTTGGCACACCCCTATGTAAGAAGAACATAAAAAATTGTGCTCTCAAACCTTAAATAAAAGACGATCCAAAACATGCATGGAGATAGTTAAGAAATATATTTACGTCAAAACCAATTTAGGCCATTGTTAATCATCTCTCGACTCAACCAATATAACAGTTTATTTATTTATATTGTTTGGGGCGGAGGTGGGGTGGTTTGTTTGTTGTGCTTTAGGTTAATTAAAGACAAAGCAACGAAAAGTGAACCAAAAAAGAAAGCCATGATCCCAAAAACAAGGCTCCGAAATTCCTGAAATATTACTTGCTTTGCTGACTAAAACCTTGGCTTCTTCCAAGATTATTTTTTCATAAATAAAATCATAAAAAAAGAAGAAAAAGACGGGAATCTAGATTGATAAAGAAATGAAGTTTGACTGTGGCATTTTTCGTATGATACACAAAAACACATGTAGGCTGGAAAGTTTTGAACATGCATAAAGATTAAACATGAAGCATCCTTTTTCCTAATATTTGCACCCTCTAATTAACCAATTAAAATTTATTAATGGACCCACTAGCCCATAGATACACGTACACACCTTAATATTTTTTTGGTACTCCTTATCTTTATACTTCACTTCTTTTGGGTTTTAGACTTTTAGATGGTCCATTGATTCATACTTGTTTGATTATACTTATGAATTTGAATATTATACCATGTCATAGAACAAACAATAGATGTTTAATGTGAATTGTAGTTGTAATTATCCACTTCTAAGATAAAAGGTGTGCTAGGAGGAAAAATTCTAAGAAGAGACAAAATGCACGTTTAAATTTTTAAAAATTTGTAACAAATTATAGTGTACCAAAGCAAGACAGAAATTTTTATGAAAAAAAAAGAGGCAGAAATTAGGAAAAATGTTATATAAATTTGTTGATTATATCTCTATCGTTTATAAATTGGTTTTTTTTTCAACTTGTAATAACAAGTTATGGAAAGAACTTAACAACTTAGAAGATCAACGGAAATAGATCTTATTCACAAAAAATCAATTCAATTTGCTAAATATTAGGAGAAGAAAATATGACTCAAAATAGTACTCCGTATAGTCCGTATAATAAGTTTATCAAAACCATATATGATGACCAATACTGTTGAAACTCCAATCTTCTGCATTGTTTTGCGTGATTGATATGCATCACATTTGTAAGTTTACATTAGCACATTAGCACAAGATCCAAAATGAAGTCCACAATACAAGACATCAAACAACAAATCAGCATGTCATGTACTGAAAATTGTACACAAAGTACTTTTATTTCAAACAAATTAATTGTACGTTACTTGAGTAAATAAGACCAAACTATATTTTATTTAATTTATTATGGAGTACTAAAAAAAATATTCTTATCTAATCTCTTCTATATCATGTCTATCAATACACCAAATATACACTGAATTTGAATAATTGAGTCAAAACTTAAATCCAATAATTCGTTCAAAGTTACACATTTTTTTATTTATTGATTTGATGAAGAAAGTTGAATAATTTTTGGTCCAAACTATAATAAATAGTCATATGGTAATGGTATACAATATACTTGTACATCAAAAGCATAGGTTTAAAAAAATGTAAGGAAAAAGGCAAGGGATTCTCCTGAAATTGTGAAAGTTGCAAGGGTTCCAAAGACCACTAGGAAGGTCCCCACAACTCGATTTGTTTTCTGACTTTAATTTATTAATTAATCAAAAAATTAATAAAATCAGATATTATTATCGTAGTTGCAAGTTATAGTGTTCTAGTATTAGTCATTGGATCCTACGAATGTGGTAAAGTATGATAGATAATTATATTTCATAAGTATGGTGAGTGTGTGTGTAATTGTGTATGTGTGGGTGGGCTTCACAATTAATTACTCTTGCAAATTGTCTCTTATCTACTTTTAATCATTATTCATTATTGCTTCTATTTTTCTTACTCGTTTTTACTTGCAAATTGGCAGCAGAATATATGTCTGCTTGTCTAAATATACTGCCCAAAAGTTTTAGTACAATAAGCTTATTCGTCTGTTTGTACTTAACTAACACATTTCTTCAACCATGTTTTGTCTATTAACTCTATAAGTGATTTTTATACGAGATGAGGAGTCAAACTCAGGTCACTCTTAGGGAATATGGAGTTAATCCCTCCACTCCTCACTCCTCGATATGTTTGTATACAAAGCTTGCAAACAAACTTATTTGAATCATATTCATTTGATTAGGAAACAAGTAAGCATGTCAACGACTCTAGCTATAGTGAATATTTTTGTTCACCTCTAACTAAATTAGGTACAACACTACAATTTATCTTATGGGCGTAAAAATATACTAAGTACATGATGTTAAAGGGCCTGTTCTGAATTTCTGATTGATTGAACTGAGCTGAGCTGAATATTTTATAAGAGAGAGAAATTAAGAACTGAACTGAACTTATTGGAATTGAATTGAATTGAACTGAACTGAAAATAATCTAAAAAGAACCGGCCCTTTGTTACTCTATATCATCATTCTTATAAAAATTGTACTCCAAAGTATAACCTTTTGAATTTCTTCTACAATACAAATGCAATGGGGCTAATGAGCAACCATTGTATCTACTGCTTTATTAGAGACTATTGATATGATTGATTCGTACTCGTATGAGTTAAGCTTACGCATGTGTTGGACCAATTTTAGACCTAACGTGACCAACCTTATTTTTCAGGCTAATGAAAGGGCTGATGCATTAGTAGCTGACTAATTACTAGCTAATTAAGGAAGGTTAACAATTTGATCATGTGATATTACATTAGTACACATTATTGTAGTTGATTATGGATATCAATTGAATGGGATCCAACAAATTTAGTTAGTATGACAACTCATTGGAGCTGTAACTTGTAAGAGGTTGATGCTTTAGCAACGCTTGCAACACTGATTGCTCACCTATTTTTTTTAGCGTCCATCGATCTTATTTTGTTAAATACGAACTACTCGTACTCCATAGTAAGGAGTAAATGATTTTAGCACTCCATAAATTTATTTTCCACACGCAACCAGTCATTAATTGATATCAGTCTTTATAATGTGTAATGTTTATACTTCAAGTGTACGAGTTCATTAAAGAGCCACCAAAAACCAATAATATCAGCAAATTTCACTATTTTACTTGTTACTCTGTAGTTAAAGATAGTTGCACTTATTTTGTCAAAAAAAAGAAAAAAAAAAAAAAAAAAAACTCATCTAAAGTTATCTGATATTAACCGTTGTGTAGATCAAACAAAACTACAAAAGGTAAGTTTAATGCAAGGAATGTTTGGGATGTTATACTGCTTTGTTGAGCCACTTGATCCGATATCTGTCATTTTCGTGGATCAAACTTGGAAATTTGGCATTTTATCGGGCCATCCTATTTAAGTTTGTCACTTTACTTGATCCAGTTTTGAGATGATATTTGTGGGGACTTGTAATATACTTGTATAATATTAATGCCCAACCCAAATTGGTTAGGAATCTTGGATACATATTTATGAGAATGTCAATTACACTCATCTGACATTCTGACCCATGTATAAGATGACGTCATTAGTCTAGGGGTTGTTTGAAATCGTTTTTTATTTTTTAAAAAATTAAAATAAAAATTGAAAATAAAAAAAAAGGTGTTTTCACTTTATGTTGTCAGTTTCAAAATTATCATGAATTTAATATGTTTGACTATTTTTTGATGTATTATATGACATATATCATACTTTTAATATTTTAAA